ACTATCACCACCACCACCACCACCACTATCACCACCACTACTATCACCACCACTATCACCACTACCCACCACCAGCACCACCACCAGCACCACCACCACCACCACCACCACCACCACCACTACCACCACCACCACAACAATGCACCATTTTACTCCCAGGGGCTAACATGAAGGTGACCCAGAACTGATATATTGTATAGTACTTTTTCTCTCCTTTCTCTTTCGATCTCATTTCTTTCCCTTTCTATTTTTTTTTCTTTCTGTTCATTTTATTCCTCTTTTTGTCTCTGTTTCTGTCTCCAAATGATACTTTCGTACCCATTTTGAGACAACAACTACTACTACTAATACTACTACTACTTTGCTGCCACTCGGAATCGGGTATGACGATCATCCAGCCATGATACAATGATATGAGTTATTAAAGATGTCACCTAGGTTGGTGAGTTTTGAGGTGACTAAAGAGACCGATACGGGACCGGCAGGGTCGATTACAGAAGTTGCACATGTGGGGGGCTACATCTAGTGCGGGAGGGGCGACGGCGGGGGGCGAGGGGGGGTCACTAGACAGACATTAGCTCTTCCTCATCTCACACCCAAGTAGTCAGTTAAAACAATAATGTTATTTCAGCTTGGTGTGGGTGTAGTTAGGACAATATTTGTAGTTTGCAACATTTTTTTTTGTACTTGGTCCCGCCCAGTTAGTCATCTGGCATTTAAAATTCTTTACCATTATAACCTTTTATATAACTTACCTCAAATATTTTACGGCTTCATATCGACGACTTAACACTTTAAATGTATTTTCGTGAAGCTGCATTATTAAGTTCTTTAAAATAATTCAAATATACTTGCAATAGTGTTAATGTCAGAAGACGACACCCGTCCGTCCAAGGCTGGTGGGTGACTAACTCGCTCCCCTGCAGGTAACAGGTAATGGCGGGATGATGTGAGGGGAAACACACCTATAATATACTATTTTAATTTTTATTATAGCTATTCAACTTTATTTCTTATTCGCTTATATTTAAGATCATTCATATTTTTTGTTACTTTTTTATTTATATGATCAGTTGCGTAGATAACATAATAAAAGTGTTGAAAATTTTAAATGAATAATTCCGTTAAAACATGGATCGCTCTTTTATTTTATAACCAAGTAAAAATTAATAACATAAAATAAATCTAAATATATAAACAGAATAACAACATGGTTAATATTATAGAAAAAAAATACATACCTAACAATCAATAAATTAATTACATGAAAAAACCCCTAACATTAACCATCTAGTTCGTGGAATATCGTTAACACCGGCCATCATAACACTCGACAGCGTTTAAAGAACAAAATGATTTAATTAAGACTGATTAACTTAATAAACTGACTGACTAACTGACTTAAACTTACTAAACTGACTGACTGACTAGAACGAATGACTGTGGTGGTATAGTGAAGGTATTGGTGGTGGTGCTAGTGATGGTAATTAGTAATAGAGGTGATAATGATACCATACTTACCTGTATTGTACCTGTACCTGTATTTTATCAGTCCCTGTACCTGGAATTTTATCTATACCTGTAATATAATCCTTATCTATAACTGTATTTTAATCAAGATCTGTACCTTTATTTATATCAATATTTGTACCTGTAAATATTATCAATACCTGTAACCTGTACTTTATGTCATTACTAGTACGTGTATGTATGTATGTATGTATGTATGTATGTAATGTATGTATGTATGTATGTATGTATGTAATTCCTCCTAAAATCATGAAAAAAAATATATATAACTAGATTTCCCAAACATATTTTCCCCCGATTGGACAGACAGGCAGACAGACAGGCAGGCAGACAGACAGACAGGCAGACAGACAGACAGACAGATAATGACAGGCACGTGTATGACAGTATGTCTAAATATTGGTTCTGTCCCACATTAATGGTGCAGTGAGTGTGGCGTTTTGTTTATCACGGCGCCATTGTCCCAGTCTGTGAACTGACACACCACTCACCATCTCATTAACGAGGGGAGGGGGGCGGGGGATGGGGGAGGGGGAGGGAGGGGGCGGGGAGGGGGCGGAGGGGGATTTTTTTTTGTTTCATTGTCTATTGCATTAAGTTGACTGTTTGTTGTTGTTGTTGTTGTTGTTGTTGTTGTTGTTGTTGTTGTTGTTGTTGTTGTTGTTAGGTGTTTGTCTTTGTTGTGTCTGTCAGTTTGTCTGTCTGGGTAGTTTATTTTTGTCTATTTTTGTTATTGTTTACCAGTTCAATGGCTATATAAACTAGCCTGTGTGGCGTTATTATTATTATTATATCGCAAGGTCATATAGTAACGCACACACACACAGCCCCTGCCATAAAATATTAAGCGTGTATGATACAGTGTTTAGCGATGATCCCAGCGGCTCAGGACGTGATGTGAACAAGACACAAACTCATGTTATTAAATCTGGACGGGACTATGAACGTGTCACGGGGACGGGGAGTGATTCAGTGTGTGTGTGTGTGTGTGTGTGTGTGTGTGTGTGTGTGTGGAGGTATTCTGGTATAGTTCCTTGACTCGTTGACCTTATTACTCGACTACTTTACACACACACACACACACACACACACACACACACGTTTTTTCTCACATTTCCTTTATCAACTTTATTCATTGAAGACCTTAACAGAAGCCACCAAATGCGTTGTTTACAGTGATCCATCCCTCTGATCTCTTTACCTTACCTTGGCTCTTAGTGACCTTCTTCACCAATCCGGTATCAGCTTTTATATCAGAGTCTTTTATCATTGGTTGGAACCCCCCCCCGATGGATGATCCTCAGTGACGGGATTACGAATGAACCTTCTACACTAACACCGTAGGCAGCGGATTATACCAGAAGTTCTTTATCACAAGTCTTCACCCTTTATAGCCCACGTGACTCAAATTACAAGAAGCAAAATAGCGTAAAGAAACTGAACTATACTGAGAAACTACTATAATTGTTGTGGCCGAGTTGATAGAACACTCACCATGTATCCTAAGGGGGTGTTGGTTTGCATCAGACACCCACAGTACAGAACTAGGAATTAGGTGACCCGACTTTGCAGTTTGGGATAGGAAGGTTGGTCGAGTGCAGTGTTGGAATATACAGTATGAAGAGATAAGAGAAGGGAAGGTTTTATAAGGGAACCTAACACCTGTTGATGGTGATGTAGTTAGGTGAGGCAGGTAGGTAGTCAGGTAGTAGGTAGATGGTCAGGTAGGTTGATAATTATGTAGGTAGTCAAGTAGATAATTAGACCAGGTAAATAGGCAGGGTAGATAATTAAACAGGTTGAAGTCAGGTAGGTAGCTTAATTAGTTAGGTAGGTAGGTGCGTAGGTATTAGACAGGTATACAGGTAGGTACAAGTCCTCGTCCAGGTATCTGGTGGTGTGATAATGGTAATCCCTGTGTAGACTCAGTGTGGTATACAAGTGGGTGTCTTATAAGGTAACCATATAGTCCCCCCCTCCCTTGCACCTGGTGATAATATTTTTCACCAAGATGAATTAACTTAAACCATCCTCGTCATATAGTTAAACCTTAAACTTTCTTTCTCAAATAATTAAAACTTAAACCCTTATCAAATAGTTATAGAATCGAATATCCTAACCTAACCTAACCTGACCTACCCTAACCTAACCTACCACTGCTAGACCTGGTGACCGTGAGCCTCTGTAGTGCTGACGGTTATGTAAATAATTAGATGGTGATTTTTTTTTGGCCTCTGGTTTATGGCAGTGAGATGTGTGTGTGTGTGTGTGTGTGTGTGTGTGTGTGTATGTATGTGCATATTTCTGTGCAAAATATGCGTTCTTGTGCATGCGCCTACAATAAATGTATATGTATATATGCCTACGTGTGTATGTATATATGTCTCCGTGTGTATGTATATATGCCTCCGTGTGTATGTCGATCATTGTATGTGTGTGTGTGTGTGTATGTCGGATTCGGATTCATGTTTAGATCATGTTAACATCCTGACGTAGAAGGATAAACAAACCTTGGGATACCTGACGAATCACCTGTACCGGGTGTTGTCATCGTTACGTCATTCAACAATAGTCCACGTGTGTATAAGTCATCTCGGTCAGGTGGAGGTCAGTCATCATACTCATCATGTTTATCAGTCATCATTGTCATCGCAGTACTCTCTATCCCTATTGTATTATAATTATTCTTGTATTGCTGTATTAGTTCATTGTATTACAGCACTGTATTGTACACCCCTACTACACTAATGTATGATAATGTATTGTTGGTATTCTAGGTTATAAATATTATTGTATTATTGTAGTACTCAAAGATATTGTATTAACGAACTGTATTTCCCTTACCCATAATCCTTCTCACCTTACCTCACCACCATGTTGACTTCTTAAGATCTTACCTGCCACCTCACCTCACCTGTCTGTAAATCTTCACCTATAGTCTTCAAGATATTCACCGCCACGTCCTGAGCTGTGTCACTGGAGTATCACGCCGAGTTACCTGCTAATTTATGCATCCTGCCAGTGTCTCTGCTTTGCCTGCCTGCCTGCCTGCCTGCTTGGTTGCTCGATACCTCCTTGCTTCCGTCTGACCTGCTTGCTTGCTTGCTTGATCTCTCTCTCGTCTTTGCTTAAATAATTTTCTTTTGTCCTATTTTCTTTATATTTATTTTTTTTTCTTTAAGTAAAAATCTATGTTATTATCTTTTTAATTTAACAAAGATTTTTATTAGGGTATTATATTTGTGTTTATTTATTTATTTCCAATTTATTTGTATCTAATAATTTTTTCTATCTCTTTTAAATATTTACTTAATTCAGAAAAGACTTTTACTGTATTTAGTCAACTTTAAATAACGTCTCTCCTCAATGCCTTTCCAACCTGGATAGTCATTGATCAAATCACCAATTTCCATTTTTTAACACCGGGTTGCATTGCCGTAAAGAGGGAAGAGAGAAATGAAACACTCGTCAAAACAGTTCATTTTTTATTAACAAAATATAATTTATCAACGGGTTATGTACATCTACATTAACTACAGAGCATAAGTTAAAAATGAATACAGTTAAGGTCATTGCACACAACTCACACCTAGCGACTCTTGGCCTATCATAATTATTGGGGTTATTGGAAAAAATTTCACAAGAGGCAGAAAAAGGACAAACATGGAAAATCTATATAAAAAAAACATTATCTGCAGAGGTGACCCATTTATTCTAAATATTAAAATAAAGACACGAACTGAACACGAACGCACCAGGATTATCAACGTTGAGTTTCTGGTGTATTCTAGTTTCATACACGATAGATGATTGAAGTCTTTCTTTCATGTTTGTTTCCTTTAGATTAATTGAAAGAATTGACACATACACAACCTGAATTGATTAATGGGATGCTCTTGTTATTATTTTTGTTTAATTAGTCATTATTTCTCTGTCTTTGGTAACGTGATAAAATTTCCTCTAACCAGTGAAGCAATTATTTTTTGTTTCTGAATGCTGAATGAAAATACTTCTTTTATTTATACAATCTACTTATTTACAGGATAATTTTCTTTGATCATAAGGAAGAAAAACTCTTCCTTATGTGTAAATTGATTTAGATCCTTGAGAAATTGTGTGCATTAGTCCCCCTTCCCCTCCCCTCCCCCCAAGGTAGGGGAGGGGAGGGGGGTTGAGAGATACACACATAACCGGGATTTGGGATTTTTACTTTGATCACGGATGAAGTCGACTCCTCTGGTGTCTTAGCGGGTGATCCTCAGTCCAGCCCGCAGTGTGAGACGCGTCACTCACGACAATGTGAGCCCCGCGTCTGCGTGTGTCTGAGCCTTCGTCAGTCTTTTATGTACAAGTCCCACCTCGGGGTTCTTTTTGGCTTTTTTTAAGTTATAACTCTACACCAACGTCTGCTACTCCACTCGGACCCTCTTGACCGCACACTCGGCGCTAACGCTGTCGTCGTTCGAGGTAGTCACGTCGATGTGTTGTTCCTTGTCATCGTCGTCCTCGTCCACCGCCTCCTCGTCGCCGACAACACTGTCTGTGGTGGAGTCCGTTACCTTGTCCACGAAGGAACGGATCTCGTCGCTGAAGAAGTTGGCTGACGTGTCGACGGCGGAGCTGCTGGAGTCTGGAGCCTCGGGGGAGTCCGGTGGATTAGGTCCTTCAAGTTCGTGTTTCTTGAGGTGTCGGTCAAGGTTGGTCTGCTGGCCGAAGCAGCGGTCACACAGCGGACACTTGAAGGGCTTCTCCTTGTTGTGGATGTTGCGGACGTGACGCTGCAGGTTGGACGAGATGCTGAAGGAACGCTCGCAGTACTTACACTTGTAGGGCTGCTCCCCGGTGTGAGTCCGCAGGTGGCGGGTCAGATTGGCCGAGCGCGGGAACACTTTGCCGCAGAACTTACAGGAGTACCGGTCCTTAGCGCGAGGCATATGTGAGCCCATCAGGTCGTAGGGGCGACTAATGTCTCCGTAAGGACGTCCTGTGCTAGACATGTGAGCCTTCAGCATATCAAGACCTGTGTTGCGGTTGAGCCCGAGGCCCATACCAGCCATGCTAGTGGGAGGGAAGTAGGGTGGTAGCATAGGGTAGCGGCTGCCCGCCAGGCCGCCCCCTGGCAATAATGGACTGCGGTCTAAGCTGCGGTCGAGGGTGCGGTACATATCGAGGAGAGCTGCGGGGTGAAGAGGTCGAGGATATGCCAGAGGCAGTTTGGTGGGCGTGTCTAGTAATGAGGGTGGCTGGGGCGGAGCTGGGGTGACGGAGGTTGTGGTTGTGTCTTTCAGTAGCTCACTAATGCGTAGGAAGGGGTGGTCTGGGCGTGGCCGTGGCTCTTCTACTGATTTTACCTCGGGCGGCGCAGGAGAGCGAAGCCTCTCTTCTGCAGAGTCGCTACTGTGGGAGAGAATGTCGAACCTGCCGAGGAACAGTTCCTCTCTCTCTTCTTTACGCCGGAGAGTCAAGTCCAGTGGCTGTTCCTTTCTCTCGACAGGCCCCCGAGTTGACTCTGCCACGACCTCCTTTTTAAGCGGCTCTGGAGTCCGGCGCCGGAACTCTGGAAGTTCCCTGTGATCATCAGAGACGTCGTTGGGCTCTGATCTACGTGGGGACTCCCTCATGGGAAATACTGATGCTTGCTTTGGTGAGTGGGAAGGAGAGAGTCGAGGGGGTGGCTGTAAGGAGGCGGGCTCCCTCGTCGCAGACTCTGTGGACTCAGGTCGTGGAGATACTTGCATGGAACTACCAATGTCATTACACTCTTTCTCCTCTTTAAGAACTGAAAAAGAATGGTCACGAGAGCTCGCGTTCTGGAAGGGTAAGAGGAGGGAGGAAGTGAGGAGAGGGTGTTGAGGTCCGCCCACGAGGGAGGGAAGGGAAGGGAACATGGGATAACCTGGTAAAAGTGAGTGTGGTAGGAGGGGCAGCGGGGGTCGTGGGTACATCATGAACGGGTTTGGTGGTGAAGACGACATGTTACTCATGGACAGACCGGTATGAGATTGCTTGTTGTCGTGCATGGAGGGGGGGCCATGCGTTAGAGACAGTGATGGCGCAGTGTCGCAGAATCGTTTGTGCTTCGCTAGTGACGTCACTGTGGAGAACGCCTGCCCACACTTAGTACACTTGATCTGCAGGCGACAGTCGGCGTGCATGCGCTTATGGCGGCACAGGTTGCTGAACTGCGTGTAGGCCTTGAAGCAAACCTCGCACTGGAACGGTTTGACGGAGGAGTGGATGTGTGTGTGCTGCTTGAGGCCGGAGCTGGTGGCGAAGGTCTTGCCACACTCAGGGCAGGCGTGGGAGCGCGCCCCAGCGTGTTGGTTGCGGATATGTTTCTGCAGGACCATAGGATCCGTGAACACCCGCGGGCAGTTCTCACACGGGTACCGCTTGAACTCTCCGTGAACTGTCTTGTGCTGGATGAGGTTGGGGCGCCAGGCGAAGGCTCTCGGGCAGTAGTCACAGCGGTACTGGCCGGCGGCGTACCCGTGGGCGGTCACCAGATGGTCGTCCAGTCTGCAGGAGAAGAAGGTGGTGAGTGGGTCGTCATGGTACTAGTGTGTGTGTGTGCATGTGTGTGTATTGTGTGTGCGTGTATATATGTGTGTGTGTGTGTGTGTGTGTGTGTGTGTGTGCGTGCCTGTGTGTGTGTGTGTGTGCGTGTGTGCGTGTATGTGTGTGTGTGTGTGTGTGTGTGTGTGTGTGCGTGTATATGTGTGTGTGTGCGTTGTGTTCGTGTATATGTGTGTGTGTGTGTGTGTGTGTGTGTGGTGTTCACTCACATCCCAGAACAGATTTCAGTTTCAAAGACCAAACACACACTCGCGTTCCTGTCGACTCAGATATAATAACAAGGAATACATTTCATTACAATAGACTGATTTCAGAAACTGAGGCTTTGAGGCAGAAGGGCTGAGACTCATAAAGGTTTAAAGAGAATAAACATTGACCAAACTCGTCTTCCTCGTCAACTTACTCGTCATAGTCAGTGAAGTTCTTGTCACACTGGAGACACCTGAACCTGGAGAGCTCATCGTCCTCGTCCTCCTCCTCCTCGTCGTCACCTGTGTTCTCGGAGCGGTCCTCGGGGGAGCCTACCTCGACATGGTCATCTGCAGGAGGAGGAAGAGAGAGAGAGAGAGAGACACGTTAATAAGACTGTTGGTTGGGGAGGAGGGAGGGACGGAGGGAAAGAGGGAGGGGGAGAAGAAATAAGGAGGGAAGGAGGTAGAGTGGGAGGGAAGGAGGGAGGGAGAGAAGGAAAAAATTAGGGAGAGAAGGAAAAATGGAGGGAGGAAAGGAGAGAGGAGAAGAATGGAGGAAAATGGAGGGAGGAAAGGAGAAAAGGAAAATAAAAGGGGGAGAGAGAGGGGAAAGCATGGAGGAGAAGAGAGAGAGGGAGGGAGGGGAGAAAAGGAAAATTAGAAGGAGGAAAAGAGAGGGGGAGAATAAAAGAGGGAGAGAGGTAGAGAGGGAAGGATGGAGGGAAGGAGTAAGACAAGAAATGGGGGAAGAATGGAGGGAAGGTGAGAAGAAATAAAGAGGTGAAGGGAGGGAGGGATGGAGGGTGAGAGGGAAAGTGAGAGGATGTGAATGACAAGTTTTTTTGTGCATGTGTTCGTAGAGAGCACAATAACTAAACAAAAGCACAAATCCCCAAACAGATGAAGGGACAAATAGACAAACAGAAAAAAAAAGAAAAAGAAAAAGAAACAGGAAAAAACTTACACTCAAACAAACAGACAGACAGAGCCAAAAATAAATGCTAGACCCTCATTCTTTACAGCACAGGACATAAACAACGCCTCAACGCCTGTGTTAGTAAGCGTTCATCAGGCCCGCGTCCACCTCCAAGCGTTGATTTTCCATAATAAGAAACATTTTCACGAGAGACACCACACGCCACTCACCTATGGCTGTGGTGTCCAGGTCTATGATAGCCTTGCGGATGAGGAGTAACTCTTCTGAAGGTGGAATGTCACGCACTGCCTCGTAGAAGATCTGTACGAGTGGAGAGAAGAGGGAAGGTGTTATAGTGGACAGCAGGTGGGTGGATAAGACGCACACACGTACATACACAGACACGCACACGTACATAAGAATATATTAACTATAACAAATGCTGATTAGGACTGAGGCTTATCTGGGTAAGGTTAGGTTAGGTTAGGTTCCCGGAGTACATGTGACAGTTCGCTCTTAGGGATCAGGAAATGAATAGTCAGAGGTGTTACTGTCAATATTGTGTACAGAACCTGTCACTCTGTCGCTTCGAAGCCTCGTAATAAGCTAATCTAAGGAGGAGACAGCTACATGAAATAGACAGTAACATGAGACAGACAGCTACATCAGACAGACAGTTACATGACACTCACCTGACCAGCCAATAAGAGGTGACGCAAGTTGCCATACACAGGTGAGACTGCGACTCTAACATGCCGCAGCCAGTTGCCCATCTCGCCCGCGTCCAGCCATCCCCGCAGCCCTGACCGCATCGACACCACCTGCGGGAGGGAGAAAGCCTTCTATTAAGTTATAAAGGTCACGAAAATCCTGAGTATACTCATTGTTTATATATATTAAAAAAACATAAATTATTACAAATTATCTTTTACTTAAATATTTCTTCTTTATCTTAGTTTATCGATTTTTTTTTCAATTTATTTATCGAATACATTACAATACGACGATTTTTTTATATAAATAACATCTTAAGAATTCTTCCATCAACACGACACAACTTCAAAATCCCAACCAAACCTAAGTCTTTCTCTCCCTATGGACACTTAACCCCCCACCACAACCTACCTACCCTCCCCACCTACCCTATAGCTCTCATTCTCCCCTCCATATACCCCTCCCAATCACTAGAGATTACCCAGTCCCTTCCTCGAGGCCTCACACCCCTGGAGATTGGACACCGTGAGCTAATCAATTAAACACGAGAGCCATAAACCCAGATTCTTCAAGGGCTCCGGCGACTTCTGATGAGCTGAGAGAGAGAGAGAGAGAGAGGAGAGGTCATAAATACACGGTGTTCATTATGAGCCGCGACGAGTCCTCCAGCTCCGTGTTATCTTTACCGCTCTCACCCCGCGGATCAACACTAGTTATAACCTTATCGGTGTTGGCCTTCTCGTGTACAGTAGGTGCTAGGTACAATCCCTCCCTTCCTCCCTTCTCTATCTCTCCCTCCGTCCCACCGTCCCTCTCTCCCTCCCTCCGTTCCTCCCCCTCTATCCCTCTCTCCCCTGTCCCTCCACCCCATCTATCCCTCCATCCACCACCTCCAACACACTGATTACAGGTATCTACTGAGGTATAAACATCATGTCCCTCTGTAAATCTTGGGATACGCACACGCTACACTTTCGCCTTAATAAACAGTATCTTATCATAACAGGCTTCATCTAGTCGCGTTTTACACCCTCTAAATCAGCGATAATAACCCCCTACTTCTCCCACCAGAAGATATGTCCGTTCTCAGGGTATTGTCATGTAAGTTCTTTTCTTCGTTATAAGTTCAGAGATATAAAGTTTCTCTTGTGGGTACTCATGAGGCGGTCCTGTACACGGGCGAGCATGAGGTGGTGGTAAACTATGGCCTTCAGCTAACAGTCGTGTCCTCAAGAAAGTTTTAATTGCCAGGGCTTGAATTGAACTCAGGACTTAGCCGGAAGCTATACTTTAGACATGGTAGTAGTACTCTGTTGATTTACACCCCTGGCTAGAGTCCTGTTTGTACTCTCTTGTGGTCTGCAACTTTCCAAGAGTCGGTCAGAAGCGCAGCACCCAGAAATGTCGACAAAATCATTCAGTCAGTGCAACTACCACCAACAAACGGTTAGTAGAACACCTTAGAACATCACCACTAGAGAAGAACATCATCACAAAATCCTAGAACATCACCACAAACCCTAGAACATCACCATAACACCGTAGAACATCACCACAACACCCTAGAACACCAGGACGAGGCGGGAGTATCTGGCCGACGGTAGTAAGTTGTAAACACGAAATACATTTACGACCCCCAAGACTCTTACTTAACTCGGCACAATGACTTGATCATCTTCACACCCTAAAGTCTTATTACCTGGTGGCTTAAAGGCGCGTCCTGTGTGCCTTTATAAACCATGGTTGTAAGAAGTACCTGGTGGCTTAGTGACACATATTTTGTCTTTGGAAACATAAGCACATAGGTGGCTTCACATTTATGCAATTTTCGTTTTTTTTTCAAATATAAAATTACCCTTTAACCCCCCCCCCCCCTACCTTGACCTCCCCATTCCATCCTTCCCCTCCCTCAACCTTCCCCTCCCTCAACCTCCCTTCTCCCTCAACCTCCCTTCTCCCTCAACCTCCCTTCTCCCTCAACCTCCCTTCTCCCTCTCTCAAAATGACGCCTCTATACCTTCTCCCCCTCCCTCCCGCGCTGTAGATACCTGGTGTGGTCGACAAGATAAGCAAAAGTGTCATAAAAGTGACACCGACACTCGATAACAGAGATAACAACCAGGGAGGTGATCCTAGAGTTATCTTGGTAGACAGTAAACTACATTAAATGGGGAGGGGTGTATGGAGGAGGAGATGGGAACGGGAGGGGGAAGGAAGGGAGGATGGGGAGGGGAGGGTAGGGCAGTCGTCCAGGTGAAGGGGAGAAGGGGGAGAAGAGGGAGAATAGGTAGAAGGGGAGAAGAGTGTGAAGAGGAGAAGAGAGAGATAAACGAAGGTAAAAGAGAAAGAAAAAACAAGAGTAGTTAAAGATAAGTGTTGATGATACTTGGAATGGTGTCTGTCTGTCTGTCTGTGTGTCTGTCTGTCTGTGTGTCTGTCTGTCTGTGTGTCTGTCTGTCTGTCTGTCTGTCTGTCCTGAGTTGTGTGTTGCCAGGGAGGTAATATCTTAAGTCTCGCTGACAACACTCTCTCCCTTCCCTCCCTTCCCTCCCTTCCCCCCACCCCACACTGCCATCACCCCACCACCCCTGCCTGATAACACCACACCTCCATCACAACACATCCCCTCCCCTCTCCTCCCCCTCCCCCTCCTCCTTACCGTCCCCTCCTCCCCCCCTCCCCCTCCCCTTCTCTCTCACTCTCCTCCCTGGAAAATTAAATAATAATAATAATAATAAATCTAAAATATATTAAATAAAATGATAAATATAATGAAACAAAAAACATATGAAATAAAATGAGCAATCACCATCGTCTGCCACTAGCGCTCGTCAACGGAATGTACTGTACGTGTGTGAGTGTATCCATTACAAGCGTCAGTGATAACCCATCGAAGTGTCTTATCTAGGCCGGACGTGTTCATCAGTGACCTAAATTACAGCGTAGGTGGATTAAGTGGGTGGATTTAGGATGGAGGGGGGTGGATAAGGTGGATTAGGTGGGAGGATGAGGAGGAGGGGGGTGAGATGGAGGTAGATTAGGTGGGTGGATCTATAAGAGGAAGAGGGGGAGGAGTGGGTGGATCTAGGAGGATGAAGAGGATGAGGTGGATTGGTGGTGGATTAGGTGGGTGGATCTACGAGGAGGACGAGGATCAGGTGGTGGATTGATGGTGGATAGTAGTAGTAGTAGTAGTAGTCTAACATAAGCTGGGTTGGTATATCAAGCGTCATATCTCCCGGTTATATTTTCGTGATGTCTCGTGGAGTGGCGTTATATAAGTGGTTTATAAAACACTCTACGCATAATATACGCCAGATATAACACACTATGATATACACAACACAAACACCCATGCTTGATAAATACGCATATTCGCATACTCGACACAACACAAGCGCATAGTCGACACTTATACGCAATTTCAACATATGCGCATACATTACACACATACGCAGACTTCACACATAAACGCATTCTTGACATGAATACGCCGATTATGAAACATTACACCACACTAAGCACATCACATATTTACTGATAAAGACTAAAGCTCACTTATTACGTGCAACTAGACGTTACTTGAAGAATTAAGACTTTAAAAACTTCGTCAATATTACCATTAATTATATTTATTTAGATGAACGTTCATATGTGTCCAAACTGTGTTGTAACTAATAACAATAATAATAATAATAATAATAATAATAATAATAATAATAAAATAATAATAATAATAATAATAATAATAATAATAATAATAATAATAAAATAATAATAATAATAGTAATAAAATAATAATAATAATAATAATAATAAAATAATAGTAATACTAGTAATAATAGTAGTAATAATAATAATAATAATAATAATATTAATAATAATAATAATAATAATAATAAAATAATAGTAATACTAGTAATAATAATAATAATAATAATAATATTAATAATAATAATAATAATAATAATAACAGATCAATTGAACAGTTTATTGCTTCATTAGTTTGTTTGTTCACATAACGCTTACTGTTACATTGTCAATAACAGGGTCATAATATTGGCTTTGATAACTGTAATGACCCAATCACGTCATCAAAGGTATTGGGGGAGAGAGGGGAGGAGGGGGATAGGGGAGGGTGGGAGAGAAGAGGGAAAAGGGAGAGGTGAGAGGGGAGAAGGGGAGAGAGGGAGGAGGGGGGTCTCAGGTTGTTAGTGTGTAGGCCTTAACCCCTCCCTACCCCCCTCCTCACCCCCTCCCGATCTCCTCCTTCTCTCCTCCCCCTACCTATCTCCTCCCCTTCGTCCTTCTCCCTATACTCACCTCCTCCTCCTCTTCTTTCTCTTCTATCTCTTCTTTTCTTTAATTTCCTCCATTGTTATCCTTACTTTTGTCTTCCTTCCCCTCTTCTCCTCCCCTTACCGTATTTATCCTTTCCCCCTCCTTCTCCTCCCTCCTCTTCTCCTTCGCCCTCTCCCACAGGTAAGTCAGATAAGAATATAATCCTCGACGTCCGGGTTGTAGGCCTAGGGGGAGGGGGATGTGACAAAAAATTTAGGCTTAGGGGGGCATAATGTCATAGATATAGGCCTAGAGGAAATGATGTCATAGATAGGTCTGTATCTATGACATCGTGATGTACTCGTATATAGGCCTCAGAGGCATGGCGTCATAAATGTATGCCTAGAGGATCATGATGTCAGATATGTCGGCCTAGGGGATGTGACGTCAGAGGTGTAGGCCTAGGGGATGTGATGTCAGAGGTGTAGGCCTAGGGGGGTGTCGTGAGGTCTCATGGTGTGCTGGATTAGCCACAACACACCCCAGGGAACGCTACCGCTACATCGCCCGGATAAACCTGTCTGGCGACCTGGTGTTATCGGCTCTGTCCTGTGTGGCGGGGGGCTGGTGGGGAAGTGAAGTTATAGGAGGGGGAAGGGAAAGGGGAGGAGGGGATGAGGGAGGAAGGGAAGGGAAAATGGGAGGAGGGTAAAGGGAAAGGGGGAGGAGGGGAAGGGGGTAGAAGGAAGAAGAAGGAAGGGGAAGAAGGGAAGGAAGGGAAAGAGAGAAGAGGGTTGAGCAAGTAGGAAGAGATAGATAATGAATA